TTCCCATATAGGTGTTGGGAATCAAACTCTGGTCTTCTGCTGGAGCTCAGTGTGCTCTTAACCACCTTGCTGGCTCTTAAGCACTTCAAGGAAGACATTTGCAAGGGAAAAATTTTGCCCTTTTCCATCTCGTCCCCATTATTCACCAATTACTCATTAGCACCTGCCCTATTTTCAGCTAAAATCTACACAGCATATTGGTTCCATAACCATTGAAAAAATAGGTTTCATTTTCTTGCTATCAATTAAGCAAGAAATAGGTTCTATGAAATGTTCAGTTGTTTCAACTGCTACCCCTTGGAGCGAAGAGTGATATTGAAATACGACCATTTTCAAAACTGTGAATAATCCTTCAGAATTATTAGGTAGAATGACAGGGTGGCAAAGTATATCAAATGTGGAGTCAAAGGTTTTCCGACCTATAGGAGACAGAGAATGAATGTATGGAGGGAATCCTAGAGATGAAGAAATATTACAAGAGGACCTCATGATGTATTTATGGCGCACCTATTGTTGTTTTCCCACAAATTTAAAATTAAAAACTGACTTATACAGACTGAACATGTCATATTTAAGAATATATGTATATGCACATATGAATGCAGTAACAATTAAAAATAGGTCATGAATTTGAAGGTGAGAAAGGAGTGTATGCAAGGTTTTGAATGGAGGAAAGGGAAAGGAGAAATATTGTAATTCTAGTATAGTCTCAATAAATCCTCACTAACTTGTAGCTAGATGTCTTGACATCCAACTGTCGAATGTGATTTCAGCACTTGAGAGACGGAAGTAGGAGGATCAGGAATTTGTTCAAAACTAGGCTGTATAATGAAATCTATGCTACTCTATGCAAAGCCCCAGATGAAAAACTAAAGAAAAGAAAGCCACCTAATTGGGAGGACCCCTCCCAGCTATCATAATGTTTCATACCTGATTTTAAACTGAAGTCATTTGGAAAATAGGACAAATTCACCAGGATGTTGCTATTGAAAAAAAACAAAGCTGCTCTTTTCAGCATTAATTTCCATGTGACAATTGCTACCTTCAGTTAATAGATTGCTCAGACCTTCAATCATTTTCATTTAAAGTGAACTTACCCAGAGGATGCATCTAATGTCATATAGTTTATGAGTCAGAGCTTTAGACAAGAAGTTGGATCCTCAGGGTCACATTTTATTTGATCTTCTAAGTTGCAAGTGTTAGAATCGTTGTGAAGGAAGGGTGTTCCTAACTTGATCTGATAGACAATTCCTATATTGTACACAATGAACTTGATAACCTCAAAAGTTTCTTCCAAATATAACATTTTCCAGTTCATCATGTCTGGTAGAATTTAGTAGCAGTTGCTTTTACAAAAGATCTAAATGTAAATTTCATAGTTTCGGTGAGAGTTGCACTATTGTCATTGCTAATATTTTTGTTTATGTCATCATTGAAACTCACCAAGAAGTCTTGGCATTAAAGTAATGGATTTCCTTTTAATTTTCAAGTAATTTTGGTGGTGTCCTTTTACTTCAAATATACTTTGACATAAATCATATATACATAGCACATAAGAGCCCCTATAGGTACGTTTTGATTTACTGATTTACTGGTTTATTTGATTCTGTCTTCTGGGAAGAATGAAACAATACAATAAAAATAGCTAGGAAACACTAGTATCATAGCGTTCACTTCGCTCTATAGCTCTTGCTTGCAAGTTACAAATCTTTGAAGACTATGTTGGGTCCTGGATAATATAAAATGTGGATTTGTGTTCAATGAATTGGCTTACCTGTGAGATGTCTCTGTATTTGACATGAGATCTTTCCCTATTAAAAATAAGACCTGAGGTGCTGCACTAAATTTTCATGTATCTGGATCTTATAAGAGGTCAATTCACACAAAACTCTTGAAATCTCTGTCTTACTTAGTGTCAAAAAATCGGTACATTAGTATGAGGCATAAAATATCCGAATCACTGAAGTTATTATCTGGTGCCAAATAGAACAAATACAGTTTTGACCAAATGCCTATGAGCAAGACCCTCATCTCATCAGATTTTTATTTGCTGGGCTACTTCAATTTTTACAAAAATGGAAAGAACAGCAACAAAAAAGTTGAATGAAAATATACTATGGTTTTGGATTAGGTCAAGTTCAGATAAACTTCTTCACTTTACAGTTTCTCAGTATAAGAAATGAAAACGTTTAAATCAGTATTATAGTAGTTGTGATCAATATTTAGTGAGCTTACCATGTCCATTCAGCCCCAGCATAAAATCCACTCCCTTGACACCTCACCGCTCACTCCAGGAGGAAACAGAAGGGGTACTGACCAGAAGCAACAAGTGGGAAAGCCGTGCCCTAGAGCAGACAATTCAAGAAGGTGTTTTTTATATAGTTGATTGGAACATACTGTAATGAGCGGGATATGTTTATTGAGCATAACTATGGGCCAGATGTGATAATGAATGTCTCACACACACCATCTGCTTTTAGATTTGTGTCAGTCCCGGGAGTTAGGTACTCTCCTTACTATCTTCCACTTACAGATTATAGCTCAGAAGTTCTGGAAGCACCCTGGTCATCTACTTCATAAATAGGGAAATGGACTAATACTTCATTCTTAAAAATATCAAGTGCAAGACAAAATAAAAAAGAAACTCTTATGATTAACAGTCATTAATCGAAACAGGCTAATCTCTGAGAATTTCTTTTAATCAGTATTTTACCCATTCTGTAGTATATTGCTCAAATGATTGAGATGCATTTAAAATCTAATTATTTTAAATAATATTGCTCCAATCAGCATTAGCACTTTTCATTTGTGGCATTAATTTTGGGTTATCATCTGCCAAGGCTTTAATCACATGGCTTAATATAATGAGCTAATGAGCTGCCTGCCCCCACTTATTGAGGGTAAATTAATTCATTCAATACTCACTATATTAATGTATAAAGGGATACAGTTGTGGGGTTCAGAGTCTCCTTCGAAGAACTTACAAGTTTATATGGAAAATATTGTTCTAATTCCCTTACAATAAAAATAATAGCCACAAACATCTATTTTTTTTAATCTCTGCAACAACCCTGTGCAGAGTTATGACTCATTCCACACATTATGTGACTAGAGATAAGAGAGAAGAGGTTTGCCAATCTAATCTTACTATTAAAGTCAACCAAAGATTCGCATTCTCGGTCTGTTGTGCTTTGCCCCTTATACCAGCATTCTGTTTTCCTTGGAACTTCATCTGATCAGAATGATAATGCAGAAGGAAATGTTGAGAAAGTTTCGCAACTGTACATAATCACTTTGGAGTGATTACAGACCCCCACTACTCTGTCTACTTTGACAGTTTTTAGTTCTGTTCATAATACATAATTACTAGGACATAGGGAGGATGTAAGTGAACAGTTGACTTAAAGAAAAGAAGCAAGTTTGAGTATTTCATGTAGTTACTTACATGCTGTAAATGAAGGATATTTGCCAAGTGCCAAAGGACACTTAATGGAGATTTTCCCAGGGGAGTCTAGTTGCTAGGGGGAAAATTACCTTTTACATGATCTGAAAATATTAGCAAACAAATATTTATTATAAACAATAATGTGCAAGCGTTTTGCTCAGTGTTCATGTTACTGTGAGTTGACTGACATTTGCCTGATTGTCTCCCAATCCTTTTATTGATATTTTATAACATTGTCTTAAAAATTGTACAGTTGTGGGTCATAGAAAAATTAGAGGTTAAAAAAAATGTATCTTATCAGACCAACCTGATTTCCCCTTTGATAGGAAATAGTGTATAAAAGGCTTGGAAGAAATATATTTACTTTGGGCTTTAACAAAGTTTTCCTTTCCGTATTTCATTACATTCTGATTGAAACACTTGAAATCCCTTGTGCTACTACCAGAGTGAGACCTTAACTTTCCCCTATCTTCAGGTATGTCTAACCTGCTGCTTGTGAACCACTAGCTATGAATGCAGCACAGTACAGAGTTTTCAATTTACTTAAAACATTAAGGATTTTTTGTGATCTTTTCTATAACTAAGTTTCACAAATGATGGCATCCCTTCTTAGTGTCAAAGATTTTGACCCATCTCTAAGACTTAGAGAGTGGAAAGTACATTTTGACATTCTGTGTGGTGTAGCAATGAATAGTTAAGTGTCAATGCTTCCAACAGCGTTTGAACATGATGAGAGAAATGCCAGCCAACCTGGCCTACAAGCCCCCATTATTCTGGCAAGTAAATAACTGCCCACATGTCCATCTTCCTTTTCTTTTTCTCATTTGCCATGAGCTTACAGGTTTTGTTCTTAGAGACCTTTGTCTGTATCACTGGAGATGACAGACACCAAAGTGTCTAATGCTTGTATCTGTATCAGTTCAACAAAACTCATCACAAATTAATAGAGAAGTGTTACGGGATAATTCAAAAATTCAAAGCTAACCCTTTTCAAAGAAAAGTAGGCCCTACTACAGAAACATCTAAAAAAAAAAAAAAGTCCCATCTTGCTTCAGATGAAGTCTTACTATGTAGTCTAGCTTGGCATCAAGATTCTGTACTTATATGACCCCCTTGCCTCAGCCTCCTGAGTAGCTGGGTCTATAGGAACACCACTACATCCAGTCAGTCCTGTCATTTTAATGGAAGAAGTTCAAAACAAAAGAGGGAGGATTCTTCTGAACGACAGAGTTACTGTCGTATATTTTAATTCTGAACTTGTCAATTAATCTGAAAAAACTACAGAGGGCAACTGTCTTCAATGATTTGTCTTTTTACATTAAGACACCAAGACTCTGTTAAGACTTCCGAGTTTTGTTTGCTTTTTTCCCCAATAGCAGCTCATATACTAAAGTCTGGGGATGATCCCAGTCCTTAATGGAGTCTGGACTTTGGCTTTCTTTTTCTTCTTTAGGATTGAACCAGCTGCCCTTTGACCCTGCCAACAACAACGAACCCCTGCAATTTGGTAGTGCCAGTGGCCCTCTGGTCCCAGATGGCCTCATTGAGAATGGAGGGGAATCAAGCAAGAAAAGAAAGAGAACAAATACTCCTTCAGGTAAGCTAGGTGATAATGCACTGTCTTAAGTCAGTGCTGTTGAGCCAGTTTTTCCCCATAGCCTGGTAGGTTGTGGGCTCTATGCCAGGCAAAGTAGGGACTGCAGAAACAAGTCAGAGGCCCTTGCCCTTTTCATCTGATGGAAGGGTCACATATATGAATAACTGGTATCACAAATGATGTGGTGAATGTATGCAAGGGAGTAAAGCAGAAATGAGGGCTATTTTGATTCACCTTTAGAGAGTATGGAGTGCTTCATAGCACAAGTGACATTTTTAGCAGATCTTTGAAGAATAGGTAGATTTGAAGCAGGAAGAGTAAATGAAGAATTTGGATTTTTATAGAAAAAGAATTTTATGAGGGACTGTTTCACTACCCACTTGTCTTTTTATGAACATGGAACAGGATACCCTCACTTTGTCTCTAAATCAGATAATTGCATATATTTCAATCTCTCCAACTCCCAATACCTTTACAATCTACATCATGTCCACATGTCTACTGTTACTTTGAGATAGTATTTCTCCATGTAGCCCAGATGACCTCAAAATTCTATCTTCCTGCTTTGATGACTGAGTTGTATGATTAGAACTTTCACCACCATAGCAGGACTTACATGTTTTTTATGCCCTTAGCATTAGTTAGAATACCTGAGAAACAGATTCTCCAGACTCCCCTAAAAGAGCATAATGTATTGTTAGCACTCACTGAAATCCTTTCCCTATTCCTCCTGTCTTGATGGCATATTCTCATCTTAAATTTCTCTAAACACAATGAGAAAACAACAAGAAACCCAAATATTAACTGATCATGTGTTATTAAGGTTTCATCACTTAGGTCAGACAACAACCTGAGATACTGGTGTGGGCCTCATAGACATGTTCTTGGGCTTGTTTGTTTTTTTGTTTTTACTATTACTTTTATTTTCAGCTTGCAAAACTAAGTATGTTTATGAACACAGTATCATTTTCTGTCTCTTAGATCATAGTCAAGATGTTTGCTAAATATGTGTTTGGAAAATAACAGTACAGTATAAATATTACCTGTATGGAACCCTTAATATAGGACAGAATTCTTTTTTGTAGAGTTTGGAAAGGTAAGGTGGATAGCCAAGGAGCTGGCATGAGTTCTCACCCTGGAGATATCTCTGTCTGTCTGTCTTCTCTCTCTGTCTCTGTCTCTCTCTCTCTCTCTCTGTCTCTCTCTCTGTCTCTCTCTGTCTGTCTCTGTGTGTGTGTGTGTGTGTGTGTGTGTGGGGGAGGAGGGGGGGGGGGGGGGGGGGGGGGGGAGGAGAGAGAGAGAGGGAGAGAGAGAGAATGTGTGTGTGTGTCCTTCATTCTCTTTCTCAGCTTAGAGTGAGTTCTTAGCCTCTCTGAGTTTCCATTTTCTTCATGTGAAGCAGAAATGAAGAAAAAAACGCCTTCTTCAAGGGCTTGTTAGTCAAAGTAGTTGAATTGATGTAGGTGATATTTAGCATCATATCTACATTTAATGAATTGCTATTCTTTTCTTATTATATGACATGATTCTCATCTTTTTAAGCATCAATATATTTCACTTTTCAAGGTTATCTATTGTAGATACAAAGTGTGTGTGTGTGTGTGTGTGTGTGTGTGTGTGTGTGTGTGACAGGATTTGCTATTAAGTTATTTGCCTTTTAAACTATGTTCAACATAGCTCCACTTTGATCATTTAGGGGCATCATTGGTTATTTACTGCACATTAATAATCGATTACAGTTTTCAAAGTTTACTAGGGAAGATTATACAACTTTACCTCTATACTAACTTGTCCTCAGTTATGTTGGTTTTCTAGTTATTACAGCTACAATTTATACAAGGCCTGTTTCTTTTCTGTAGTCTGCAGTCACTTATTCCTCTCAGTGTTCTTTTTTTAAATTAATGTATTTATTTTACATCCCTACCAAAATTCCTCCTCCTCCCTCCCTCCTCTCCTCTCCCATCCCCTCCCCAAACTCCCCTACATGTTCTTTAGCAATTCTTTTCTATTTCCAATTAGTTATTGAACTTTGAAACTAACAAACAAAAAATACCTTAAAAAATCCTAACCATCTTTCTAAGTTCATTTCTCACATGTGTAGGTTAAATAAGGGCAAAATCGGCTGTCAGTAGATCCTGCCATGGAGAGTGTACTCATGATTTATAACATCAACTTTAAAACATTGCTTTTGGCTGCTCTGAGGCTTTTTGATCACTTGCTCGGTTTTTGCACTGTAATTATAAGTGATGGACTAGTTTCAGGCATTACCTTTCTAACTGTGGTTAACTCATGGTGGTAGGAAAAGGGCGTGTGTAGTAATTTGAATTGTGAACCAGCTTTAAAGAATTGACATTTCATTTCTAATGAGCATATTCAATGTGAGCCAAGTTAAGTGTTGCAGATAAAGGATTTTAACAGTAGATTACACTAATCTATAATTAGCAGAATCAATTTGCATTCAAATAATGAATATTCTGAAGTTCCTTAAAAACAGTGTGTTCTTTAAAATAAGTGGAATAAACTCCTAGAAGGCTAAATTAACTTTCCTGAAATCCTCTTCACACTATTTGCTTAGTGAGACCTTTCTTTGTTAAGTAGCACAAAGGTAACAGCAACCTGGTTAAATGACCACAAATTCCAAATTAGTGTAGAATAAATTAATGAGGTTTTGCTATAGAAGGAGTCCCTTATAATTGTTCATCTGGCAATACTGTGATATTGCAAATGGGTGGATTGCTACATAATAGTATTTCTTTCTTGTGCAGTGCTAGACAAAAGGAAGAGGGAAGATTGTTTGTGAATAGGAACTTCTCTCTTCTGTTGTCACCATTTACTACAGTAACATGGCAAAAAGGGAAGCTGAGGTTTGATGTTCTTGTAGGAGCTTCACTTCTGAGACACTACATGTCTACCTGTTATAGCTCTTAAGCATAGCTATGAGTCCAAGCTGACTCTTTGTCCTTCAGTGCAAATGAAGTGAAGCTGAAAATAAACCAGCTCCAGTGCCTCACCATACCTCTTCTTTCCGTCCTTTCCCATTTCAACTAGATTGTCCCTTTTCAGCAAACTGCTTGTCTCCCCTTATACTAAAGCTAATTTCCTGAAGGTTACTGATGATTTCCGCTGCTGTTTTATTCTCTCAATGGTTCCTGTGGTTCATTCCCTTAAAGATTCTTACGCTAGAAACTTGGTACCAAATATGCCACTGTTGACATAATGAAGTCTTTAAGAGCTGGGCCCTCCCTGGTGAAAGGTATTTAGGTCAGGCGAGCTCTGTATCTAACAAATGGATCAATGCTGGTCTCTTTGAGTGGTTGGGTCTTTCAAGAATAGATTGATTTCCACAATAATAT